TATGTGTCTGTTGGGTGTTCTAGATCTAAATCGTTTATGGTATACAATTGTTCCACTTTTAGATAATTTTAAAGGGCAACAAGGGGCACCAAATCTGTTTATTTTTTCTATATTTTGTTTTAAGTCCAGGCATAGAACAAAAAGGAATCATTTAATAGCAGTGCATTGTCGCTTCTAGATTTTTTTTGCTCAAATCAGTAAAAAAAAAGCCCTTTGATTATAGGCTTTGATGACTAGAACAATCTTGTTACTATAGAAATGACTTGAAATATTTAGGAACTGTTCTTCAACAGAAATGAAACAAAATCATAAAATATTAAACTTTACTTATGAAAATATCTAGTCATTTAATAATTTTACTCAAGATGTTTAAAAACAAAACAAATGTAAGACATGGAGAGAATCATATTCCAATTGCATGGAAGGGATGGTTGTGCTACATATAGACATAATGTTTGTAGGTATCTGTGCGTTCCAAGAAAAGATGTGATTGCTTTGAGTTTATGTTTGTGCTGTCACATGTTTTGAAACATCTTTCTGGAACTAAATCCAAAACATTGCATAGCATTAATGATTGGTAGAATGCTTACCGTAACTCTTTTGGATTTCAGAGAACAGAGAACATCTGGATTTTCTGACACCCTTTTAGAACTTGAAAAGCATTCTCATTTGCCCCTCACTGGAGAAAATATTATGAGATAGTAAATAATATATTTTAATATGTTATTAAAGTTTATAGTACTATCTTTTTTCAAGATAAGTATTCCTAATACTTCCCACTCTCTTCAGAGGACTTAATTTCCAATGTCTTGATTATCTATCATTGAACTTGTTCCAGGTTGTCCAAAGTCTTCTTTAGGTCCAGTATCTAAAACTGGGTAAACAACTTAAAGTGAAATCTGATCAATAGTGAAACTGTTTTTGTGATTTGGAAATAGTGCTTCTACTGGTACAGCCTAAAATAGCATTTATTTTTTAGCAGCTGGGTTTCACTGTTGTATTTCAAGATTCTTTTCACAAGTACTGTAGTACAACCAGATCAAATAGCCCTCATTCTAAACCAATGCACTTGGTTTCTTTTTCCTAATGAAGAACTTCGCAATTGTGTCTGTTGAACTTCATTGTCTAATATTGGTCCACTTGTCTAACTTACAAATTCATTTTGAATTATGTTTTTGTCTTCAATGGTATTAGCCAGCTCACCCAGTTTTATGTCATCTGCAACTTTAGTAAACCTCTTCATCCAGTCATTAATAAAAATGTTGAATAGGACATGGCCAGACCAAGCCATGTGGCATTCCATTTGATTCCACTCTTTGGTTTAACATTGGTGGTTTAAACATTAAACAAGAAGACATGATAGGCTACTGGAATGGAAGAAAATGGTTCTGAATGTACTGTAAAGACATTTTAAATTTTAATTTAGTTTCTGCTTCAGTCCACAATGGATGTGATATGGATATCAGGGAGCCACTGGCTTTGTTTCTTTTTTTCTGCTATGGGTAATTTATCCAATTTTTCTCTCCAAGCTGTTTGCATCAAATTAGAAAAATGTTTGATTAAATGACAAAGAACATACTAACACAAAGCCATATTCTTGGAATTAACCTTTCCATCTAACAGCAAAGAGTGTTAATTCCTTATGTGTACCAAATAGTAACAGTTTCTGATTAAATGCCATGCATCTATAATCCATTATGTGGTGAGTCAATTTGGTATAATACTGTAGTTAAAAGCACCAGGCTGGAAATTACAAGACTGTAAATTCTAGTTCTGCCTTAGACATGAAGCCAGCTATGTTGACTTTGGGCCAGTTGTTCTCTTTCAGCTCTTGGAAGAAGAATCTGGTAAATCATTTCTTGCTAACTTTGCCAAGAAAATGTAGGGGACTAGTCGAAGCAGGAATCCAGAGTGATTGGAAAGTACACATATATGCAATACACATATTAATGTACAAACAATTCAGCACTGCTACACAATTTTTTAATTTTTAAGAACCTTAGTTTTTTGTGGTGATATTTTTCTTTGCCTATACAGAACATATTTAAATTAAAAGAGGAGCACTAGCTCAGATAAAAGGAAGCAAGACTGCATTCCTAAGAGTTAGAAGTAATGTGTGGATTGTTTAGTATCTCCTTTAATTCAAATCAGCCCACTATCTGTCTGCAAAAGTAAAGTATAAGAAAAGATAGAAAGTGTCATACATTGAAGCTAGTGACTTGGAGGTCCCATCAAGGGCTGGACTCAGGGTTTGGAGAAAAGCCAGACCAGAAAACCAACTCCATCAATTTGATTGGAACTCTATTGAAATTAACGGACAAACCATCAGAATTTCTTCCTAAAGTTTTTTTTTTTGTTAACCAGGTTTAAAATATATGTAATGTGTTTTTGTAATTGGTGTTCCATAGCTTCTGCAAGGTAATCTCTCTGCAGCTGGGTTCCCACAATATGCTTGCCTGATTTAGGGATAGAAGATATGTAAGCTCAGCATTACACCTTCCTAAAAGAGGTTCATTTGGAAGGAAAGAAGTTGTGAAAAGAAATGAAATAAAACTGCATACTCTGACTTAATGAATCATTAATTGCCCAGGAGGTGATTTAATCACAGACAGGAAAAACAAATAGAACAGCTGACAAAGTGTAGTTTGAGAGTACAAACTACACTTTACTCCTATAAAGACTGTCTGGCTGTTTTTATGTGCTTGAAATTTCAGGGGGACCTCAGAAATGGGACAATATCTGGTTCCATCTCATTATTGGCATGTAACTTTTGCCAAGCTATTATCCAAAAGGAAGGCAAAGAAAGGAAACTTTTTGACAGAAAAAAGAGAACTTACTGCAGCTATTATAAGATTGTAAGGACTTTTTTTTTTTTTGCACAAATGAAACCAAACTCTGCCTGATTCCCTTTTTCACTCCTTTTAAAAAAATGTTCTGAACTATTGTAAAGGATGAATATACAACAATCTATGTTGATATCATAACCTAGTATATGATATTTTTAATAGTATTATAGATTTACATCCAAACAGAATGTTTATCTACAGCCCAGCTGTTGTTTTCTATCCATATTAATGTGGATGATTATTGTTTAGGAACTGATGGAAATGTAAGATAACATATGAAGATTGTTTCTTTGAAGGCTGTATTGGAATTCTTTTGAACTATGTCAGAATGCAGTGTGATGCAAGTTTATGTCAAATTTGCAGGAAACAAGATATAAAGATGTTTGCAGATATAAAGAAACAAAAATAACTTAATGTATTGTATGGTCATCACAAAATTTGGGATAATTATTAAAGTAATAGTTAGCATGCTATTGTTGTTTAATAATGCTGCTTTTAGCAAAGTTCTCTGGGTAATTATTAATTTGTTGACTACCAATGAATGAATCAATCAATAATATTTATTCAATGATCAGCAAAATTGGAGATGAAAATAAGATATAATTGGTTAAAAGGTAATTAACATTGTTTAAACATTACTTTTGGTTTGATACATCTTAACTAATAAATTGACCTTGTTAATGAATTCAGATAAAGTCTATTTTATTAGACAAAAATGCTCTCACATTTAATTATTTGAGATCAAAGCTGTTAGAAGGATGTATCTTAGAGTCAGATCTTACCATGTAATAGCTGAACTTGATTTCTCTATACTAGTTTAGATCTAATTGCAAAATAGTTTAATATTGAGGAAATTAACAGAAGTGTAACTTTAGTAAGAAGAAATATAGAATAAGACTAGAGAACTTGAATATTTTACTGCCACTCAGACCTATATTCTAGTTTTGCCACTAGTATCAGTTGAAGGGTGATTCCAGAACAATTTGTCCTATTAAAAACCATAATTCAGGAGCTTATATAACATTTTGATCCTCTGCCATAATTTGTTGTTATTCTATATCTCATTTAGTTTTAAATTTATGCAGCTTGTTTGCTGCACATAACGAAAGACAACGTAATTTTCTCAAACAACTGGAAAATCCTTGTGAACAACAGAGAATGAACTCTTGAGTGCTGCCACAATTTGATTGTTCTTGTATGTTAAATTCTAGAGTATAATTTATATAATAGAAAATCTTAGTCTTTTAATTTTTGGATCTTGATGATTGAGAGGAAGTCAAATTATTAAATGTACTAACTTCACAATCCATGTGGCCAAAGCTGGAAAATCAAAATTATGTCTGTATCCAAGATAAATAGATTCTGTAGAGGCATAAGCAAAGTAGACAAACATTTATGAAGATCTGTTTCGAGTTTGAAAAAGATTTGGGGGCATCAGTATTTTGGGAAGCCCAAAGATGAACGTTAGATGACAAAGATATACATTGAATGTAGTGGATCCAAGCAAAGTTGAGCATTCTATGTGACAGATCCTTTTCCATGACTGTATTTCTGAAAGTTTAAAAAAACAAAAGATTGCTAGCAATAAGATGAATAAATACTAAATAATTTAATAAAATCTACTTTTACTGAAATCACAATACAAAGTGTATTAGGATCGGTAAGATGTGCAATGGAACTGCTTTCTTCATTATTTAATGTACTTAGCAAAAGGCAATCAACTATAATAAAATCTAAAAACAAAAAAAAAGCAACCAAGGTCCTAAAAACGCGAAAAACAGAGTCTCAATAAAATAAAATGTTAAGATGTCTTATTCCACACCAGCCTTAGTGGGTCTTGACATTGTTTTGCCTACCAAAAGATTTTCCATGGAGGAACAGAGCAGCCTTCACAAAAAGCCAGTTCTCACTTATCTCTTGCCTGCCAAGAAGGATGTGTGAAACATCATTTCAATCCACCCTGCCCTTGTGATCCCCCGTTTCCTTTTCTGAACGAGAAACTGCGGCAGATGGCCTCGAGTAGGTAGAAACGGAGAGCCTTTATCAACAGTTAACTTGGCTGAGAAACCCGTCTAGGCTGGCGTAGTTTTCCAATCCGTGTGCCCGAGAGAAAGTGCGCGAGCCCCGCTAGGAGGACACGGGGTAAGTTTCGCTCCTCAGGAAGAGAACGAGCGGACTCGCAAGCGGAGACTCGTCTGGAAACCCTTGTTGCTTCTTTCGGACTTCCGAGAAGAGGCGCCCAACTGGAAGGGACGCGAACGGGGCCAGGCTACTCTTTACGGCGCCTCCACCTGTGCCGCTGCAGGTGGGAGGCGAGGAGCTGCTCCTTCGGAGAGGCGTGAGAACCAGGGTCACGCATCAGGGGAGCAGCAGGTGGACGGTTTTCCTGCTTTCTTGCCAAACAGACGGGCACCCGCTGCCGGTTGCGGGGAAGATGAGAAGTCCCTCTTCGCCCCCACCCCTCCCTTTTCGTCGTGTCCGTCGCTTAGGCGATAATGGGGGGGAGGATGACGCCACTGAACCTCTTCGCCTCGTGAATGTCGAACAAAGGAACTTCTGCTGAAGGAGAAAAGGTGGACAGGGGAGCCGCTGCTCTTCCCCTGCCAGAGGCTCCTCACACGGGGGAGAATGCGCGCGCTCCTTCCGGGAGATAAAAGCCACGAGCGGACCGGTTTTCCGCCGCTCCAGTCGCCTTTTCGCCCGGCTCCCCTCACGGGTTCGGAGAAATTCGGTGCTCGGGACCTTCCCGCTCCCGAGGCCATTTGTGTTCCTTTGGGGAGAATTTGCTTTGGGGTCGCTTTCTGAATCACCCCGCCCCATTTCTTTATCACTGTGAGTTCGTCTTGGATGGTTTCGAAGTGTCGCCCATTTGGATCCGGAGTATTGCTGGAGGTGTCCTATTTTCATGTGCTGCCTATCGGAAGATTTAACAGAGAAAGGCAAAAGCCCGAACTATGCCGGGGTACGTCTAACCGGACCGTGTGGTGCTCCGATAAGGACAGTTTTGCGAAGCAAATGTGTCCTGAGCCCTCCTTTCACTGGAAAACAAGAAGCTCTTCGCACCTTGCTTCGAGAATCGCTTTGCTTCCCAAAACTAGGTTGGAGGCGTGCCACTTCCACGAGGTTCTTCTTCTACTCCTGGTCCCGCCATGGCCTTCACATTTGCTGCTTTCTGCTACATGCTCTCCCTGGTATTGTGCGCTGCTTTGATTTTCTTCGCCATCTGGCATGTGAGTAGATCCTTTCTACAAGTTCCCCCAGTCCATTCATTTAACATTCCTTCACACTTAGAACATAGAACAGTAAGAGTTGGAAGGGACCTCGGAGGTCTTCTAGTCCAATTCCTTGCTCGAGCAGGAGATCCTATACTCTTTTAGAGAAATGATTGTCCAGTCTCTTTTTTAAAGCCTCCAGTGATGGAGCACCCACAACTTCTGAAGGAAAGCTATTCCATTGGTTGATTGCTCTCACCCATAGGAATTTTTTTCTTAGTTCTAGGTTGCTTCTCTCCTTGGTTAATTTCCAATCTTTCTTGTCTTTTTGTTGCTTTGGAAAATAGTTTGACCTCCCCGTCTTTGTAGAAGCCCCCAAATATTGGAGCAGTGCTATCATGTCATCCCTAGCCCTTCTTTTCATTATATTAGACATAGCCAATTCCTGTAACCGTTCTTTGTATGGTTTAGCCTCCAGTCACCTAATTATTTTTATTGCTCTTCTCTGCACTCTTTCCAGAGTCTCAACATCTTTTTTATATTGTGGTGATTAGAACTGGATGCAGAACTTCATTCACATGTAATAGTTATATGTCTGGGAGATCATTATGGGATCTGACCAAACTGGAATCTTTTAATTGCCAGACAACTCAAGCATGAGATAGATCAGTTAGAAATTATAGGACTCTTGCAAAAAATGTTTTTCAGTGAAGGAGCTCAGTTTTCAGCTACAAGTTCAGGACACACTCTCCTATTCAGTAAATGAGAGCAGGCAATGAGAGAGTGCATCCTAGTTGCACTATCTAAGTGGTTGTGTATTGATTTGGAACAACAGAAGCATGAACGAGCATGGACACATAGATGTGCATAGAATTTTCTCCTTGTCATGTGCATGCAAATGCTGGAAGGGCATGGTTCCTTTTTATTTGAGTACACACTTTGGCATGAAAGGCTACATGTGATCCTACTATACTTGTCACAAATTCATTCTTAGTATGTCTATGGAGATTCTCAATCATCCATGTCATGGTTGCCCCAAAAGTGCTTTTCCAAAAGGCAACTGAACTTTCTTGGTTTTTTTCTTTGAAAATGTTTCACTTCTCATCCAAGAAGCTTTCTCAGTTTTGACTGAATGGTGGGGAATGGAAGGATTTATATTCTTTGCAGTCATCTGGTCATTAGCACTCTGAGAGTCATTGAGGTCACTTGGGGGTTTATCTGTAAGTTCAAATTCACCTAAATCAGAGTGCAAATGAGTGTGGAGCCTTCTTGGGACTGCTGAAAGGACTAGGTCATAGACAGGAGATAGGTAATGTGATATCCCTCCCCCTCTGTTGAGAGAGGGCTATTCAATTTTAACATTCTTTGACCCCTCTTTCAAATTAGCGGTCCTCTCTGTCCAGAATGTGAACTTTGCTGTCTTCAAAAAAGTGACCTTTGTCTTTCAGATGCAGATCAATTGCTGAATCCTGTCTTGATGGGTTTGTTCTCCTATGTTGTGCCATGTATTTGTGAAGAAACAACCCCTTATTTATAAATAAACACATTTTGGTGAGCTTTGTAGTCACACTAGAACAGTTATTACCTAGAACAATTCCCCTTTCTTCTTCTCTTATGCTTCTAGTGCAGGCTTCATATTTTCTTTCTCATTTCAAAGTGGGCATTAGGGCCTTAAGGTATGGTTACTGAACAGTCAAGGTAATTTGGATGTCTTCACAATACCTTATCCAGAGTTGAATTTTTGAGGCTCTTCAAACAAGTCTGCTTAAAGAGAAAGGGCCAAATCGTAGAATAATAGAGTTGGAAGAGACCTTGGGGGTTTTCTAGTCCAACCACCTGCTTAAGGCATTTATAAACGTATTTATAAACATTCTCATCAATCAGTAAAATAGTCTTTTACTATAGTCTTGAAGGTCTGCTCTCTCTCCCCCTCTGAATTCCAAAATGAGGAGAAGTTAGTTTGATGTCTATTGTGCTAGCTAAAAAAGTGTGATACATTGTTCTTTCTCCATCATTATTGAACACATTACTACTATCATTTAGAAGACTGTGTGGATTATCAGGCCCACTCAGATTTATCAAGAGACTACTGAAAATAAAACACTGTTGTTATTTTGAATATGGTATCACATTGCCTTTTCTCCTTCCTGCTGGATGTAAGTCGGCTTACTTATGGCTGACTTACATTGCTAATTAGGTTAATAGCTCTTAGGTTGTCATTGTAGTGGTGTTTCTCCTCAAAACGTTCTAAACTGCATCCATTCCACTTTTATCTTATTTAATGTGATTGTAATTAACAATTTCTTAATTAGCTATCTGCCAACTGTTATTTTCACATAGAAAGTTGGACAAGGTGCTCTTCATATCAGGAAATGACTAAATACTAAATGTACTTGCTTTATGTTATCACATACAGTAAGCATTTATGTGTTCTGACTGACATGTTGGTTAAGTCCTATAAATATCTTTGAATAGGAACATCTTGTTCTGACAATTGATACAAGCAGTGGGTAGGCTGAGTATGTTCTGCCTTTGCCAATTCTAGCATTGCTGCAGAATTCTCAGAATAAACAATATCTTTTTAAAAAAATCATTTTATTTGAAAGTAAAATCATAACAGAGACCAATCTTATTTTTCTAAAATTCTATACTCTTCCATTGTAAGTATATTGGAACATGTCCCCAAATATCAAGTCATGATATTTTAATTTCTGCTTTAAGCACGATCTATTATACTTCAGCATACTCAATAGCAATTGCCTACTCAAAATTTTAGACAGAAGTTTCAATTTCACGTTTACTACTGAAAATGAAAAACTATAAAACCGCAGATTTGGAAAAGCAGGTGACAGAAGTAATAGCACTTAGATTTATATACCATAGTGTTTTACAGCATTCTCTGAGCAGTTTATGTCAGCATATTGCCTCCAAGAACCTGGGTCTTTATTTTACCAACTTTGGAAGGATGGAAGATTGAGTCAACGAGTCCATGAGGACTGAACTCCTGGCTGTGGATAGAGTTAGTCTGCAGTATTGCATTCCAACTACTGCGCCACCAGGGCTATATCAATTGTGCCTAAAGACTTCGACAAATTAAAAAAAACCCACTAACTTCTAAGTAAGGATAGGCCAATCCTGAAAGGAAGCAGTGGAAAATTATTTTAATATTGTTGGCAAGAAATACGTATGGATGTGTAGATATAGCCAACTTTGGCTGGTCTTAAAAAGTGAAGCAGGGTTAGATCTGATTAGTTCTTGGATGAGTGATTATTGGAAATCTCAAGAATGTAGACTTGGTTGCCAAGCAAATTACATATACTGTACTGTAATCTCCAGGTATCATGCTTGATTCAAAGCAAACTTTATTATTTAAAGGCAGGAAATCATTTATTTAATACAATATTTTTACTCATTATCCTATCTGAGATATTGAAATACTTCAAGTCATCTCCAGAGGGTAAAGGGGAAAGGAGCAAACATACGACAGATAAGAAATTAGGAATTGCTTGAAATAGTAAAAATGTAACCAAGAGTTAGTGGGATATATATCCATCTATTCTAGTAGATTAATGTAGGCTCTACACAGATTTCTCCTTTTGATGATAGGAAGGGTATAGTGACCTACAAATGAAGCCATTCTATTTTGTTTTCTATTATAGCAGTTCAGGGAATTTGAATGACAAAAAAGCTCTGCCTCTTTTAGCTACTGAATTTTTCTTACAGTCAAGGAAGTAACTATAATAACTGAATGCTACAAAATGCCACTATACAGTATCTGTGGGAATGAAAGCTGGATATAATAGAAAAGACACAAGCATCGTGGAAAGTAAGCAAAAAGAGAACTGTAAGAACTTTATAGTTGAAAGATGTGTTCTTAATAGGCGTTCTAGAGTTTGAAGATCCACTTGCTTGATCTCCATTTGGTTCATGTGTGCTACCAAGGAGAAGCAAGCACATTGCTAGAGAACAATAGGTAAAAATGTAGGAACACTAAATAAATTCTTAAAGTGAAAACTTGTTTTATAATGTAATTTATAATGAGGCAGATATTCCCTTACTGCTTTTGGATTGCTCTGAAAAAGATTCTATGAGTGTATGACCATTCTGACATCTGAATAGTACAGAATAACATTTTAAACACATCAATGTGCTCTTGAAATAATTTGCTTGTTCAAATGGGGATAACTGAAACAAAGTAAACACTTTGCTTTAAGTAATTTTCTTTAGTACTGTGTTGCCTGACTTCTACCCCCCCCCCCATTTATAGTTGAATTTTAGTACTAATGAGACAGTATGCAAGATCTCATAGAATAATTATAGATATGGACTATAATGACCCAATTAAACTCATACTGTCATCCATAAATACCAGACAATAGCAATTAAAACACTGCACTTAGACCTTATAAATATAGTTTTATAAAAAATTGATGCATGTGCTGTGAATGGCGATATGTTCTGCTTTAAGGCAAATATTAGTTTATATATGCAGGACCAAAGCAAAGAAGTATTTTTGAAATAAATGGCACTTTAGACAGCTTATAATTATATAGGCTCTGTGTGTGAGAGGGAGAGGGAGAGGGAGAGGCAGAGGGAGAGGGAGGGAGGGAGGGAGGGAGGGAGGGAGGGAGAGAGAGAGAGAGAGAGAGAGAGAGAGAGCTTTAAGTATGGAGGCATAATTTAAATAACATAGAGAACCTAAACTTTGTTTTGCAATGCTGTATGTCCTAATTTGGGGAAAAAATGGAGGTAGTGACAGATTTTATTTTTCTGGGCTCAAAAATTACCTCAGATGGGGACTGCAGCCAAGAAATTAAAAGACGCTTGCTCCTGGGGAGGAAAGCTATGGCAAATCTAGACAGCATTCTAAAAAGCAGAGATATCACCCTGCCAACAAAAGTGCGTATAGTCCAGGCCATGGTTTTCCCAGTTGCAATGTATGGCTGTGAAAGTTGGACCATAAGAAAGGCTGAGCGCAAAAGAATTGAGGCCTTTGAACTATGGTGCTGGAGAAGACT